CCAACCTAGTAGCGATGGCCTCCAACCTACTAGCGATGGCCTCCAACAGATTAGCGATAGCCTCAACGCGTTCATAGATCTGGTAGTCTTTGACGCAAGGCTCTATGCAGCCAAGGTACTTGGGAGCGCTGGTTGGCCTTTTTCTGCTCTTCCGCCTTATCGCGATGATCCTCCTTTGGCGAAAAGGGAAATATGTCTTTTGAGACCTTGGCTCAGACTTTTTTCCTGATACCTCCGGGTGTCTCTCAGAGAAGCACAGCACGGTGGAGATGTATGCATTCTTGCACTCCGATGCTAAGCAAAAATGCTAACTTATATAGTAAGATATAGTAAGACACCGTTGATAGTGTCCAGAGAAGAATGCATTCTGCTTGCAAGACGCGCGGCAATCTGCATAATCTCCACCTCACCTGGAGATGCGCCGCCCTCGCCGCTGCCCAAACCACACAGCGCCAGTCTAGACGGCACGGCGGGACACGTGACGGTGGCCCACGGGACACGTCAAACGGCGGGCCGTGGGCATGGTACAGAGATTCCATTCAGCAGAAAAAATGTGGATTCGCCGATGTGGATCGTTTTCGCCAGATGAATTTGCCGGTGTTGATGTCCAAGAAGAAAACCAGGTCCAGCCGAACCTGCGGCCCATAGATATCCATGGATGGTGTTCTTCCACCAATGGTTCGGCACCCTCCACTGTTATGCAACCAGTCTCGACCCGTCTATGGGTCACCAATGCTTTAAAGATTTGGGATCAAATCCAAAGGTTGATGGGGTGCACAAAATCAGGTCCGGTGCGCGAGCTCCAAGATTTGGTCCATCAGCTACGCAAAAACGGTCCATCGCGGGATGGTACATCAATGCATCAATGCATATCAATGCCATCATCCTATCAGATCCTCAGCTTGTTTGAATCCTCAGCTTGTTTTGGTGGCATTGGATTTGTGGCGCGTCTTGGGGCGGCTTCTTCCATCGAGGTGGCTGCGAGCTGAAGAGGCTCTTGGCAGTGCCCAGACCCAAATCTTCCCACCCACCGGGCCGGTGCCCGGTGATGTGCGACAGGCCGGTCACCGGCGCACACGTGGACGGCGCGCGGAAAACGCGTGGTTTTGGATGGCGTTGAGAGGAAGACGGAAGAATGAGCACACTAGTTGCATTCGTAGCTTCTTGTTATGCTAGTAGCGATGGCCTCCAACCTACTTGCGATGGCCTCCACCTAATAGCGTCCAGACGGTACTCGAAGAACTACATACGGTATATATAACGGTATATACGACGTAGAATTATATAATGAAATCTTCCAAAAGCTCACATCACCGACTTAGTAGAGAGTAGAGAGTACTGGACATGTCTTTTTTCGTCCATGACGATGCTCAGGGGATGCTGGGGGATTGCTACTTCCTTGCGGCTTTGAGCGCCATTGCTGAGGCCCTAAAACTGTGACAGACCCAAGAAGCATCTAGAAGCCATAGAATCCCAGCTACCCTCAGTTGGTCTCAGCATCCTATCGTATCAAGGAAACGCCATCAAATGCCTTCTTAGATGCTAGCATGTTCATGCTGATGTCCTTTGGACACATTTAGCCCCATACGGCCCATATCACAACATGAATGACCCTTTTGCGACATCACTCTAAGCTACAGTGGAGGAAACCTAGAGGAAACCCGTGAATGTCTCCGCCACAAAGCTCCGCCCTTTTGGCTCCACAGAGCTCAGACCCGCGCGGGCGCAACCGGCGCGTCACACGCTGCGGCATCGTGGAACGCACCGTCGATGCCGACCAAGCGGAAGTCAGTGGAAGCGAACAGGAAGGTCAAGAGCACAGGCGAAGCAGGGGACTCCGTACAGGTTTGGTTGAAGGTTGAACTCTTGGGCTTTTGTTTCCAATCTTGCGCCATTAAACAAGGATGGTTTCAACATGTTTCAACTAAATGCTTTGAGGCATGCTTTGAGCATAACATCATACCGCACACACAATGGTGTCATGCAACATCATGCACCGAGAATTAGAAGGAATGTTTGTGCTTTTTTGGGGCGCCAAGAAATGCACTTCTCGAAGCAGCGGGTGCACCGCATGTGCACTGTGCAGGTGTGGAAGTCGTCGAGCCTGGCAGCACCGGCATTGATGTGAAGCCCTTGCACCACGGAAGCGTGAGCGGCTAAAGGTATGCTATATGCGATGATATGCGGGTATGTCATGGCATTCGAAAAGCCATGTCTTTTTGATGATTGAGTGGGTACAGTGAGGAAAAACAGAAGAGATGGCAATGTGCGACCTGTTGACAATTCAGGGACTTTCTTGAGCTAAATATCTTATTTTGGTGTTTGTCTCCTGATGGGCTAAGTACTCGATGCATCCTGACGATGGACCATCAGACACCCACCTCTTGACTTGGCAACAAACCGTTTGTTGCCGCCATCACCACAGCTATGTCATACAAGAAGCAAGCAGTTTGACAAAGAAATTGTTTCAACGCGCTAAATCGACTAGCTGCCTCATTTTGCTTCATTCTCACGTCGCGTACCATGAACGGTTGCATCCGATGGCTGAGGCAAGACTACGCCTCTCGCTTGTAAAAGCAAGTTTTTTTTTTCCGTCTTGGGAAGACCAAACACACCTAATGTTTTGGGGCAAGTCCTGACTGAGGAGAAGGAGATGAAAGAAGTCATCAAGAAAGGCCATTCTGATGTTTCTACATTCTACGCAATCGTCTTAGTTATATATAAGGCTATAAGGCATTGAGAGGTGTGTAAATTTGGTTGAGGACTAGCTACAGTAAACAAAGAAACACAACACACCGAACCCTCAATCCATCATCTCTAGACGCGAGCTTGGAGGTCTGTGTTGAAGGAGTTTTTGCTTCATACGCCTAAGCCTTTGTGCGTCTTCCTATTTTGAAGTGGCGGACTCCTATATCGATCTTTGCAGGCATCATTCCGGGATGTGTTAGCCTGGTCTACCACAAGGGCAAGGCACTGCCGGCTCCGTTTGCAGGAGCAGTGCTGCAGCAAGCTTCATGATTCATGCTTGTCTTGAGTTGGGCGCAAGCTGGCAAGGTTGATCCTGTGACACTTCCAAGCGGAAAGATAATTTGGGGGATGATATTGCGGCTGTGAGATACCTGGTGTATCCTTTTGCACTTTGTTTTTTCCCAGAAGAAGTGTGCTCAACTTGATAGGAACTGCTGGCACTCACGCGAATCTCTGGGGTCTCAGGCAGTCGCGCTTTTTTCTGTGCGAGTTCACTGGCCCCTTTGATGCTTGGGCTCGACTGAATGCATAAGGTTTGAAGGCTAAAACATGCTTATTGCTGAAGGAAAAAACTGCATCACACCAGAGACATCCAGGAAACCATATGGATCAACATAACAAAACGCTTCATTGACTGATGTCTCAACTGGACCCATGCGGATTTCTTTCGCCTCTTTTCGCCTTGGAAACACAGCAGCCGAAGAGCCTTGAGAGCCTTGAGCCGTGGAACATGGCCGAAGTCAAGAGCGTCCTTGGTCCAGGTGCCTTGGTCCGGGCGATGAGTCGCCTTCAGTGCTCGGTATACGTGCAGTTTTTGGCTCGAGTGAAACATGAGACCCAAACATGCTCGGTTAGGGCGCAAGTGGTGCTGGTAGTGCAACCAGGAGCAGATTAAACAAGGTTATATAAACATCGAATGGACTGAACATGGACCAGATTTATGCAAAATACTTTTCTATGAGGTCAGGGGGCTGCGCACAGCACACAGCCGACTGGTCCAAGCTGTTCCGTGCTTGAGGGTGCAAGAAAACCGGCACGTACAGCTCGCCACAACAATGGCCTCCAACCTACTAGCGATGGCCTCCACCCTAGTAGATCTATAAGCCCTTGTGGTTGCAGACTCCAAACTTACACGGAGAGGCACTTGAACATGTACCGTGCAAATGGCCGACGCTCACAAGTCTTTTTTTTTGTTGTGGTTGACCCCAGAGCTGAGCGAGTCCATTCTCACTGTTACAGGGATGTAGCCGCTTTTTTTGAGGGGTTGAAAGAGCTCAGAAACCTTTGATTTTCTTCTTGGTGTGTAGTATTAGCCCTTTTCAGTCGAAAGTCATGAAGCTCATCCCTTCTAAAAACAAACCTATTTGGACTATTCGCACGCGTTGCGGAGGTGCTCCTTTGGTGGGTGCTCCTCACTTGGATGTGGAAGTTGAAGTGCAGCTGCCAGAGCACCGAATTCACGCTCCTTGGCGAAAACGCCGCGGCAGTTGTCGGCACTTGTTTGGATGGATGTTGGAGAAAGTCATCGGTTTGCTTGCAGACAGCGGCTGACAGAGATCATCAGAGATCCCCTTCTATATATAATCTCTTTCGCTGAGAAAAAGGGGGGGGCCATGGGGCCTGAAAATTTGTTTGCATCACTTTTCTCACTGTCACTCACTCTATTCCTCGAGCCTGTGAGGTGGGGTGGGTTCTTCTCGTGATGTTTTTGTGTTATGAAGACCAATTGGAACCGGCAGATCATCACATCCACTCCGTGTCAGACATCAACGACGTCACCTCATCACGACCTCCCCGCGCCGAGCGATCGCGGCGCGCACGTGCCGCACGATCCCTTTCGTTTTGCGAAGACGAGGCACTGAAGACGTTGGTTGGATTCCTGGCAGGGGGTGCTTATGGATTGACTTCGGTGGCTGTGGGACAGCCTTTGGACACGGTGAAGACGCGCATGCACCGTAGTCAGAATTGGGCCAGAGAGGGGTGTGGGAGTCGGTGTGGAATGATGTAAAGATGCAATTCTCAATGCTGCAAGAGGTTTTTGTCGTAACATTTGTCCATGCAAGACATCCTTGTGATTTTTTTTGTAGTTGCTGGTTTCACTGTTATTTGTCCTTTTGCTATATCATATGCTATATCCAAGTTCGAAAGATTTAACCTTACAAACCCCACCGAGTTGGGATAGTTCAGGATGGCCTAGCGAAGAATAACAGAATCACCATGACTCACTACTCGGCGCCGAGTCGAGATCCAACCGAGGCAGGCGCGCCCTGACTCCGTTTCGTCGAGCGCCTGGCGCGTGGCGTGGGATTTGCTGCGCAGCCAAGGGCCTCAAGGCCTGTACCGAGGCCCGGAGACCTCCCGCGGGACCTCGGCGTTTTGGCCCGGCGAGCCATCCAAAGCTCTGCTCCTCCTGCCTCAGACCCTGCACCGCTTGCAGCGTGGGGTCTGTGTTTTGAGAGACGGACAGGGAGAGATGGACATGGTGCTTTGGAAGAAGGAAAACACCGACGATGATATTCAAGCAATTCATGCTCACGAAAAGTGATCGGTGGGTGATTGGAAGAGTTGAGCAAAAGCGGTGAAGTGACACGTGAAGAGGATATTTGGGTGGTGGTGTCAGATATGTTTAAGTTCAACCTTGACTTGGGATAATTAAACCTGCCACACTCACTCATATTTCCCCTTCTTAAGGTAAAACCACCAACCTGCGATGTCATGACGTTGGGGGCCTCCTTTGACCGTCAAATCGTTATGCTCACTCTGGACTCTGGGAGAAAAGTCTACCGCGCAGGGAGAAGATATTCTGCCACTGCAACTGTAGTTTTGATTTGTCCAGACAGCCACAGCACACATTAATAATGACGTGTAGCAGAACCCGCAGCTTGTTTTTCAATCATATTGGCTTTCACCCAACCACCCACGGCCATGCCCATTGTCAACAGCCTTTCCACCCTGCAGTGGGCACAACCCCACGGCACCAGGCGGGATTCCTGTGGTCCTCGGCGGCACCATGTTCCGCTCCGCACAGTTCGGTTTCTACGAAGCGGCGCTGGGGACCGGCACCCGTCGGGGAGGGCGCGTTCCGTCGCAGGGGGATGAAACAGATGAAACATGAAGAAAGCCGCTGCAGTCGGGGGGTTCTGGTTGTTTGGATGCAAACGAGGTTCTATATTTACACCCTTGGTTCGGTTTCTTGAGGGACGCCCTCATGCTGCAGCATGCTGTAGCATGCTGTAGCTGACAACCCTATAGTCATTGTCATTTCAAAGTAGTTGGACAACTCCTCACACTACAACGGCATGCAGTGGGGAGGGCTAGGTCTGGTAAGGTTTCACCTGTGAGTCGGCCCTCAGGGTCAGTCACACACCGAACAAAAATGCAGCTTAGGCAGCCAGGAATCGCGAGCCGCTCGCACCGACTCGAGAGGCTGAAGTGGAACGTGTTCTGAACATTTTGAAGTCCAGCAAGCAAAGTATCATGTGTTTTTTCTCAAAACTAACGCCATGACGTCTTACCTTCGCATTTGGCGAACTGAAGTGCTTTTTGGAGTCTGAGGAGTGTGCGTAATTGACAGAAGCTTGCATAATTTGGTCGCCTCGGCTTTCTGCGCACCGTGCGCAGCAGGAGGTTGCGAAGAAATACGCCGACCTACAAGTTCTTTGGGCTTTTCGATTGGTGACCCGGCTTAGGGAGAAGGACTGACTGACAAGCAAATGGATTGCAAATCGGGGTATGGACGTTTTGTGGAGGGATGCAGCGGTCGATCCCTTGTAAAGGTTTGTGGCTGCCCCATTTGGGCTCAGTTTGGCTGATTCAAACGATAATCCCGATAGCGAAATAGTGCTTCAAAACCCAGAATTGATCTCAGACATGCATAGAAATGCAAAGCCTGCAAATGCCTTTTGCCAGACGGTTGTGAACGTTGCAATGTATAGATGGTGGCAGAAGGCCATGTTCTACGAGAACTGGTTTTGTTCCACGTCCGTGTAGCTTGAGGGAAGGCTTCCATCCTGCAAGCTAATGGCAACCCACACGAATCATTCGAAACGAACATGTGCCATTGGCTGAAATGGGAAGATGTCACGTGTGCCTCACGTGTGCCTTGCGCGCTGTGGCTAGCCATCCCTCCCAGGCAAGTGGTGGTTGCTGGAATGACTGGAGGTGTTGCACGTGGTGTCATCGAAGCAGCTGGTCGGCATGTTGCTGTCAACCACATGGCAGCCTCTTCATAGATGTATCCGGTAACAGTTGGCTATCGAACAACACAATGACCTAATCAAGAAGTGTGACCTCTGAAGATATTCTAGGTTCCACCTTTGGAGCATGGCTCCAGTTACATAGGGTCTGACAACCTCCCAGAGTGCGGAAGTGCAAGCGAACTGACCTCATGATGTCTTCGAGATTGCGATCCATCATGAACGGACCTGATCCGTTTGACTCGGACCTGATCCAGAAAGGTCAGGTGTTGGGAAAGGTCAGGTGTGTGCTTGCTTTAAAGGGAAGCAGTGGGAAGAAGCACGAGGAGTTCTAACGTAGACTCTGGATCAATATATAACCCACCCATATTCAGGTTGAAGTATCATTGTCATCTAGGAGTTTACATGACCCTCCCCCTATCTGGAAGAAATGGTCAAATTCAAATTCACACGGCCAACTGAGCCAAAAGGGCCTCCAGGCACACCGTGCACACCGAGGCCCCCTTTGATCAAGTGAAAGTATGCAGGCAGGTGGAACACGAATGGAGTATGAGGCCGCCGGGGCACCGCCGGGCACCGCCGGGCACCGAAAAAGCGAAAGAAGTGGTTCTTCATGGTTCTTCGCATTGATTCCACGCTTTCTGAAAAGGGCGCAAAGGGCGCAAGGGAGTGTTAAACAGTTCTTTTTTTTGGGGGGGGGGGTTCGGTTGCGAGTGTTCGGGCCATCTTTGATGGGCTCTTGAGAAAACGTTGCCCGGCCGCCTGGCCACGCCTAGCCTGTTTGTATTTGTATGGGACATCATGGACCAACGATGAACGCCATGAGCTAGAAGTGTTTGTTTAATCCCGCGCTGCTTTGGGGGATATCTAACTTGGCATGATATGCCTACAGTTGAACTTCTCATAGTAGCTGATTAATCATCACCTTCCACCAGCCGCTCCCTGGTTCGGAACCCGCGGCTGTGTAGGGCTTCCCTGTCGATCCTGTCCTGCAGGACTCTGTTCAACGGCTCTGGGGTGACCATCCTCCGCAACACTGCACTCTTTTGCTCCTTTTCAGTCTACCGTCCCTTGGCCCTTGCCCAAAAGGAGCATTGGCAGTGGCCTTATGATGCCTTATTGGCTTCCCAAAGAAGGTGGAGCATTGCCATGGTTTCAGACCCGGCATGGCTAGTTACCCTTGAGGGTCAAGGTGTAGTGACCCAAATACCAATTACAGCTCACAGTGTGCTATCGAATCTCTTGAGGGACTGGGAGTGTGCATGGTTTCTTCGAGTGGGACGCAGCTGCAGCTGCTTCATCGGAGTGGTGTAGCTGAGTCGTGCCTGTGGAGAAGGAGGGTGTAAAGGTGAGTTCAACTCCTCACATGCAGGCAATGCAAGGACTTCAGACTCTTCCACATCGTTCTCACTTCCGAATTCCTTCGTCCTCGCCTTTCGGCGACCATTTTCCGGACACCGTCCGAACCCGTCGTCCTCAACCCGACGTCCGTCGTGTTTCCTGAGGCGACCTGTTGCCGCAGTTCGTGTCCAGCGACATTTCGCCCTTCTGGACAGGAGCCTTGTGTTCGAACCTGGCCTGGCTCACGATTTGGCCCCTGGACCCTTGGTGAGGACCAGGAGGACAAGGACAAAGAAAAAAGAGATGAAGAACGCGTGGACCCGACCGGGCGGTTTTGGGTTTCGGTAGGGCAAAAAGACACGGTTTTTGATGCTTTTGGGGCCGAGTGATGCAGAGTTGGGTGTGTAGTTTGCCGGGATGGGATCCAGGAGTTGGGGAGGAAAGAAGGAGGTTTGCAAGGGGGTTTGGGATGATTTGGAAACTACTAACTACTTCATACATAGATTAAAGATTATAGATCACATGAAGCCATTCTGAGGCTTGGTCAAAAAAGATGGGGTTCGCGTGGAACGTACTAGAGCATGCAGACTTGATTCCAGCCCTGTGGATCCCTGCGCAAGGTTTGGCACGGGAATGGTTTTGTGAATGTTGGAGCGGATAGTGTTTTGAATAGATTGAGATTGACTGATTGACTCCTTGATGTGTGAACGAGTCATCCTAGCTGCCCTAGCTATTGCATTCTTCCGTGTAAGGTCTTCATTTGCAGCTTGGAAGTGGACAAGGCCCCACCACCCCCACCCAATCAGTTCCCGGTGGGTGACTGTTACTGGGAGTCGGCCTCAGGATGTGATCAAGAGTCAGAGGCAGAGTGGCAACTACGAGTCCAGGAGACCCGCTTTTTTGGACAAGTTTGCATAGCAGTGCCAATATATAACTAGGCATAGGACTGCGATTAAAGATATGGCGGATCCTGAGGCTTGAAGCAGTAATTTGATTGTTTCAAGAGCTTAAAGGTTCACTTTCTTTATACGAGGCCAAGACACCACCAGAAGATTTCCCAAGCTTGGATCCACAGTTGTCATATTTACTCATAAACTGGTGCAGTTTTCCCTGCAAGTTTGGTGGCGGGGTCCACGGTCAACTGGTTGGCTGGGTTGGCTCGTGGCTGTGAGGAGCGCCCCGAACACAAACCAACTGATGAGAGTGATGATCTTGGGGCAGAAAGGGGCGGGAGCTTTTGCATGGCCAAAGGTGCATCCACCAATTACTTCATGTGAATTCCCCTAAGTCAAGGCAACTACGGTATTTAGGGGCTCCTGGCCTTACTACTAGGAGCAAGAAGCTACTAGGGGCTCTGGCATCGCTACTAGGAGCCAAGACGCTACTAGGGGCTCCTGGCCTTACTAGTAACAAGAAGCTACTAGGGGCTCCTGGCATTGCTACTAGGAGCAAGAAGCTAGTAGGAACAAAGGGCGTTGCTACTAGGAGCATTCTTACTATATAAACCAGAAGCTACTTTGGGACTGGTGACCGTGGCCCCGGAATCGCCCTCGCCCAGGAGTAGCGCCTCGCTCCTTTTGGAGGCTTACCGGACCCATCGCCTCTTCCGCGGCCTTTTGCCTGGATTGGCGCGCTCAACTGCCCAAGCCTCAGACCAACAACTGTGTGATTCTGAGGGGGGAGCGGAGTAGGTTCTCCAGCGCCAGTCGATGGAAAGAGTGAGAATTGGATTCCAATTCCAATGACAGCTTTGCCATGTCCAATGAGTAAGCCTCGCAGCCTCCCCCTTATGATTGTTGTTTGTAGACTCATAGGCCAACTGGCATAAGAATTCAATCCTTGCTTGTGAAGCTCCCCAGTGGCCTGATGGGGCGGAGTTGCGGCAGATCCACTGGTCCCGGGCACTGAACACCGCACGCGACTCGACCGCCCAACCGTCCGCTGAAGAGCACCAGTGCATGCGCCAGTGCTTTGTGAGGAACTCAGCGTGACCAAAAAGGTCGCGTCCCAGTCGTTCCTGGTTCTTTCAGCGCCGGGTGAGGTCGCCAACGGCTGCGCGATGGTGGCCTACAAGAAGATCGAGGCTGCGGGGGCAAGCAACTGAAATGCCAAGCTTGGGAGGTGCATGATAATTTGCACAAGAAGATTTAAAAGAATCGAAGCTGGATGTTGCGTTTCACTCACCAGGGGTCTTGCAGATCATATTGGTTGACATCTCCTCCCGTCATCAAGTTGTTTATGTCCATAATATGGATACATACATATATATATATATATATCACGAAAGCTAGCACCAGCTAGCTGGAGTTGTCCTTGCTTTAGCAAGTGAGGGGCTGGAATCCTCGGGATCGCCGCATCACGTGAAAACTTCATATGTAGGGGCCCCCCCCCCGTGGGTTCAACTCCCCCCTCGGACGCCTCTGGGACACCTCTCGGGCATCTCTTATGGCATCAACTTTGGCTTAACTCCTCCGGGATACGGTGCAACAGATTCAACAAGCTCACATGTTCATGACATCGACATCGATAGAAGAAACCAAACAAATCATGCAAGCAGCTTTGTTTTGCCTCTGGGACACCTCTTGGGCACCTCTTATGGGAAAGGGTCTCGGTTGTGACGCGTTTTTTTGTCTCGAATGTGACGCGGAGAGCTTTTCTCAGTTGTGACGCGGAGAGCTTTTCTTTTAGAGAATCTGTGTGCTTCTGGGCCCTTGCTTGGTTCTCATAAAGTCATAAAGCTCCAATCCAGCTCCACACCAATTCCACCAAATGCCACTCTAAACTCTGAAGCCCAACAACCTAATGTCCCACCCCACCCCTAAACCCCC